TATTTTTCACTTCAAAAAAAAAAAGTAACTCAATGGATGAATAGTAATTATATGGATAATCTGGCCAGTAAGTAAATAGTATCCGAATTGAATAAGAAGTAATAAATTCATATTAATAATATTTCTCTAGTTAATAATTACTAATAATAAGCTAAATACTTTAGTAATACATAAACATTACAATTGCATAAATATCTCCTGTGAAAATATGTCCCTTCTATTATCTTTTTGTTCTGCGTCATAAATATTTTACCTGTTTATTAAAAAAATAAAATAAAAGGAAGGGAGCTTTGGTTGGATGTCAATTATAAGCACTGTATCCAAGTTGTAAAGGATGCTGGATTTTGTTTCAGGTTCAGAAGCAATGTTTGCAGATCTTTGCTACTTTTCTGTGCGATCTGTTCAGGTATTGGAGGAACGGAATAGAGGCTATTGAATCCTTAAGTTTGTCCTTTTCATCTATTACTTGGTGTTCTAATCATCTGCAATTTTGATTTATTGGTAGTGGTTGTCTGCAGCTCACATTTGTATTTCTGGTTTTGCCTTGCCTTTTACTGGGTTATTTGGGTCAAGCTGCCTATCTTCTGGAAAATCATAATGATGCCGCACAAGCTTTCTTTTCTTCAGTTCCAAGTAAGATTGCCTTCAATAAGGTCTATGAATTCTTTTGAATATGCTCTCCTTTGGTTACAGGATCCTTGTCACCTTCTTTTTCAATCCTTGATATCTTGCTTGCGTTATTTATATTTACCAATCTTCTTTGTATAAAACATAATTTTTTTATTTATTACAATCTCTTACAGGCGCTGCTTTCTGGCCAGTCTTTCTCATTGCTAATATTGCTGCTTTGATTGCCAGTCGTGCAATGACAACAGCCACATTTTCTTGTATAAAACAATCAACGGCACTTGGTTGTTTTCCTCGTCTTAAAATCGTTCACACCTCTCGAAAATTCATGGGTCAGATCTATATCCCCGTCATTAACTGGTTTTTGCTGGGGGTATGCCTAATCTTCATTTGCACTATCTCAAGCATTAATGAGATGGGAAATGCATATGGTAAGAGTATTCTCTGATTTTATTTAACATATTTTGTTGACACGGTTTCAGTTGTTTGTCATCCATTTTGTTTGTTAACCAGGCTTTTATGCACTGTTCAACAAAAGAGTGAAAAAAGGACTATTACAGGGTGTATAGTGTGAAGACAATAGCATCTTGTTGAGCAGTACATCTGTTATTGCATCAAAATATACTGGATCTTATTAAAGTTCGGTTTAATTTCATTTGCCATACTTGCCTTGTAATTCTTTGTGTTTGCTTAGAAAAGTAGCAAATCTATTCTGCTCACTACAAGGGGAAGTTGATTGTGAGACCAAGGTGATTTGCATGATTAATTAATAAGCTAACAAGATGGTAAATTCTCCAATTGTCTACCGGCACATGCTGTTGAGCTTATACTAAATTTGGTTCCCTTTAACTCATAGCTTATCTGGGCAGTTGTTTTAGTGTCCTTGAATGATAGATATATATATATATATATATATTA